CAACCCTGGGGCACATGCAGGCGCGCGACACCGGTGCCCAGGCGCGCGGCTTGGGCGGCAGTGCCGGCCCCGGGCCCACGGCACAAAGCGCTCGGGCGGCCCCGGCCCTAGGGCACACGCCGGCGCCGGGTGCAAGGGCATCCCAGTCCCCTGGCGTGCCCCCAGACGCGCGGCCCCGCCCCCGGGCGCCCGGCGTGTGAGTGGCCCCACCTCCTGGGTGCCTGGGAGCCTCTAAAGGTTGGGGACCACTGCACTAAATGCTATCAGGTCATGGTGGATTCCACATATAAATAGAGGTGTTTGATTATACAGTAATTTTCACAGTAACAACTTCATAATATCAACCAGAATTCATAGACTGTACAGAGTTCCCAAATCACCACCACTACATACAGCAGTGAGGAGCAATCTAGGCTAGTGAGTGGGCTGTATGAGTGGTCCTCCTTCATTGTAGTAACCAAGACAGTCTCCCAGGACAGGGTAGCTTTGCTAACTGTGCCTGCCTACCTAGCATTTGCAGGGTGTGCCGGCTGAACCATAGCAGTGCTTTGATTGGATGCAAACAGAGTGCACAGCTCTCACGTTGTTGTGTGCTATCAGCATGCACATCACTTCACATGCCCTTGCTTTACGCGTGTGTCACATTTGTTATACCAGTAGGAAAAAAACTACACAAATAAAAACTAGAAGAATTTGGCAACCCTGTGTGGGAAACGATAAACAAAATGTCCTGTGGTGACACATAAATCCTTTGGGCTGTAGGTTGCCCACCACTGACATACAGTCAAACTTAGTTCAATTGCTACTCTCAGCTATACCTGTACAACCCCAGTAGGAGCTGTGCAGAGTTAATGCATATTAATTAAGGCAGAATTTGGCCCATCAAGTTGTGATAATGATTAAAATGTTTGCAAAACATTTCAGAGTTTAAATTACTAGTAGGCTGCATCTACACTGGCAAGATTTTGTGCAAAAGTGGCCACTTTTGCGCAAAATCTTGCCATCTGTCCACACTGGCCGCGAGTATTTGCGCAAGAACACTGATGTTGAAATATACAAAATCAGTACTTCTTGCGCAAATACTCTGATGCTCCCGCTCAGGGATAAGTCCTCTTGCACAAGAACACTTGTGCAAGAGGCCAGTGTAGACAGGTAGCATCAATTTCTTGCGCAAGAAAGCCTGATGGCTAAAATGGCCATCGGAGCTTTCTTACACAAGAGAGCATCTACACTGGCACGGACGCTTTTGCGCAAAAGCAAATCTTTTGCGCAAAGGCACATGCCAGTATAGACGCTCTCTTGCGCAAATACTTTTAACAGAAAAACTCTTCCGTTAAAAGTATTTGCACAAAATCATGCCAGTGTAGATGCAGTCCTAGTGTTATGAAGTATCATGAGTGTAATTGTCTTGTTTCCTCCATCCACAGGCTGTTATTGCTGGTGTACTTATCCTTTTGGCTGACAGAGAACAAACACAAAGATCACTTGTAAGCTTATGTAATTATTTAGGATGGTGTCAAATACAGCAGAGACATTGGGGTGGGGGGTGCAGAGATAATCCAGATTATATGTTCAGGAGGAAAAAGCATATTTTGCTACTAAAGCAGTGGAACAAATTAACTGTGCAGGGCCTTAAAGTGAACAAATTTTAAATGTTCTACCACCTTGGTGATTCTACTAGTTCCAGAGTTACTTCCTGTCTTCACAATGGGGATTTTTGTTAGTGTCTAAGATTGGAAGTTAAGGCTGTCCACTGTAAATTACTTCTATGACAAATGCAGAAATAAAATACATTTGTGCTCCTTTATTCTAGTATTTTTTAACAAAAAAAAAAAATGGTTTCACTGCTTATATCTTCCCTGTAAAGCATCCACAACCCATTTTTTAGCAAGTGGCATATATGATATTTATTGCACTTATTTCCCCCTCCAATATGTTTCTTATTCTGGTCTCATTCGTGGATAGAATATAAAAAGTGAAATCATAGGAAATCTCTCACCCTCGTTAGTTAAAACTTTTTATTTGATTTTTTTCTACCATCAGTAAAAAGAGTAATAGTATGTTTCTGTCTCAATTTCAGTGGGAAGCTAGCTTCACCTTTGGCATATTGAGTATCATGGGCTCCCCGGTTCAATTTGCTGTTGCCATCACCTCCATCTTGCTTGGTCCGTACTGCTACTATTCATTTGCTGGGATTTCAGGAACTAGCTATCTCGGTTATGTAGTTTTGTTCCCTTTTCCCTACCAGGAATTTTTGTCTCTTTGCAAGGACCCATTGCACTACGAGTGGTACCATCTAGTTCTACAAATACTAGACCTTTGCTCAAGTTTTGTCATGTTTTGTGCTTCTTTGGTTTTTGTGGTCAAGCTCATTGCAAGACTGCTCCAATTTGGACATTTAAATGTGAGCTTTAATCATGATGGGGAAGGTGGATTACTGCCAGTAACACTGTAGCTGTGACTACCACTTCCTTTTACCTAATGGAAAGTCAGAGCTGCTCCAGTGTAGGCCAGATCCTCGACTCACTCGCACTAGATTTACACTTCAATAATTCCACTAAAGAAAATAGAACTATTCCATATTTGCATATGTTCAGACAAGATAAGTACGTGCCCTGTGCCTCCTTTGTGCTTTTAGCATATGCATCAAGAGGCTGTGATGGTCGGGTTCAACACCCCCTGAAATCAAGGAGAATCTTTACTTCGACTTTAATGCGAGTCAGATCAGAGCATTGGATTGGAAGTTGTTAAATTCGCTCTTCTTTTAAGACTGACATTCTGGCTGGCTACAGTGTATAAAAAGCTATAAAGACACAGCCCTATTATGGGAATAGCAAGATAAGATATAAAAAATAATCATCATGAATGGTGTATCAACCCTACTCTGTGCACACATTTACTGGGGACTCTCCAGAAAAGCATGGGAAGACTCAAGGCTAATGTACAGACAGCACTGGAAGTCAAGGCCAAACTTCTTCACAGTTAGGTGCCATACCAAAATCCTTCCCTCACCTTTCAACCTTCCCCACTATGGAGCACTCCACTTATTTCAAACCCACATTCAAATCCTCTGTCCCATTAGAAAAATGTAGACAACTTTATGGTAACAAAGAGAATCACACCTCAATTCATGTCACATCAATGGTCATTAAAAGGCAACAAGCCTAATGAAAGGTTGCAGGCGATAAACTTGGTTTAAAGTGACAAGGAATCCTGTAGCACCTTATAGACTAACAGATGCATTGGAGCATAAGCTTTCATGGGCAAAGACCCACTTCGTCAGATGCATGTAGTGGAAATTTCCAGAGGCAGGTATAAATTTCCACTACATGCATCTGATGAAATGGGTCTTTGCCCATGAAAGTTTATGCACCAATGCTCTGTTAGTCTATAAGGTGCTACAGGACTCCTTGTCGCTTTTGCAAATCCAGACTAACATGACTACCCCTCTGATACTTAGTTTAAAGTGAGGTTTGAAAGCCCAAAGAGTTTGCAATCCATAGCATTGGTGCACGAGGCATCCTTAGGGCTTAATCCCTTCATGCCTGAACTGTAGCCAGGCACAGGGGCGGCCCTAGACTAGCTGCCAGCAACTGGTGCCCTAGGCAAACCATGCAATCGCACCCCCACCTCCAAACCCCTCAATGATATTGCACCACCATTTGGCGCCCCATTTAACTTGGCGCCCTAGGCGACCGCCTAGTTCACCTATATGGATGGGCCGCCCCTGGGGGACAGGAGGTGGTTGAATTATGTCAGTGGCCAGGTTGTGACACTGGCCAGCAGCAGCCTGGACATGTTGGTGCATTTGGAAACTGTGCAAGCAAGAAAGGACAAGCTGCTTCCAGCCTTATGGGAGATGGAAATGAGGGAGAGAAGAGCTCTATAAAGACATGGGCCAGGTCATCCCTTCCTCTCTCTTCTCTTGTGTCTGAAAGCAGCTACAGTCCCTTCCCTCCTGCACAGTGGTGAAAGGCTGCTGCTGGCCACGTCCTGGTGTGACCTCTGGCAGAAATTAGATGGGACTCTGCCTACCTCCTAATGTATTGCCTCAGGAAGATGTAGTGTTAGAAATTATCCCTGTCAGTTGTGCACTTGGGTGGCCACTCAAGAGAGATTCGGGTGCTGCTCAGCTGATTAGCAGAGCACTTACAGCTGGCAGCATGTGTTTCTACTGGTGGTTCGCATCTGCACATACCTCGGTGCACGTAACAAAATGTATTCCACATGTGGATTGAAAAAATTACAGGAAACACTGGTGCTACATACCAAGGGTATGTCTATACTACCACCCTAGTTTGAACTAGGGTGGCTAATGTAGGCATTCAAAGTTGCAAATGAAGCCCAAGATTTAAATATCCCGGGCTTCATTTGCATCTTGCCGGGCGCCGCCATTTTTAAATCCCCAGTAGTTCGGACTCCGTGCCCGCGGCTACACGCAGCACGGAGTAGGTAGTTCGAATTAGGCTTTCTAATTCGAATTACTGTTACTCCTCATTCCTAATTCGAACTACCTACTCCGTGCCGCGTGTAGCCACGGGCACGGAGTCCGAACTACCAGGGATTTAAAAATGGCGGCGCCCGGCAAGATGCAAATGAAGCCTGGGATATTTAAATCCCGGGCTTCATTTTGCAACTTCGAATGCCTACATTAACCACCCTAGTTCGAACTAGGGTGGTAGTGTAGACATACCCCAAGAGAGGCAAGTCTATACCAGGGTCCCAAACAGGCATGGAAGGTAGAGAGAACTGGGAGCGGGGGACAGTTGATCACACACACCCCATGAGAAGGGTGTAGGGGAGGGGTGTATGTGTTTCTCTCCCTTCCCACATGAACCTTAAATCCTTAAAGATAAGAAGCTAAATAAAATCCAACTCTGAAGTATTTATTTTTAACAGGGTCTTAGTCAATGTGATGTTAATGTGAATGTTTGTATGATTGATTGCTGTTGAATTCGCGTGAATAAGAGTAATTGTACCAAGTGTCCAATATTCAGCATAGGGAAATATGGTCCCCCTCATCATTTCTAGCATGTGAGTGTGGCACTCAGATTCATAGGAGCGTCTCAGAAGTACAAACCTAAAGAAGCAGCAGGGAAGTGTGCCAGGCTGACAATGAGGTTTCATTTAATAAGCACAGATGTGAGTGTGGAAAACAAATTTGAATCAGTGACAGCCAGCATTGTCTGCCTTCTTGGAGCAGCACTAAACTAGCAGAGAGAAACGAACTGCGACACTGGCCCAGACATGCTCCAGCTGGCTGCAACTATATCTTCCCTCCTCCATGAACTGTAACCATTCAGCTTGTTTTCATTTCATTACTGGAGGGTATTTTTGCAACTTGCCAGGAAAAAAAAATTCTCAAAAATGCTTAGTTTTTTTTTTTCTTTTTAAACAGACATGAGGTTATTCATGTAACTTGTACTCATTTTGTATTGAGCAACACATAATTAAGTAGCCATATACAACATAACATCCACAAAATCAGCTTTAGCTGCCTCCAGGTAGCTGTAAATTTACACTCTTCTTTGCCAAACTTCTCAGTTCTCTTCTGTGCATGTGGGAGAACAGTTCCTCTTCCCTGTCATTATATTTGGCACCTGTTAGTCAGGAAACAACTGGCTAGCAAAGTAAATCAGGCATTTAATGAATTCATTTAAGTCCTTATCCTGCAGACTTTTATTCATCGATATAGTTCCATGTCAACTTGAGGATCAGGCTGTATCTCTGCCCCCAGTCTGAGGGGAGAGCTTTCAAAGAACAGAGCTCATCAGGTTTCAATTTAAAAATATTCACATCCAAAATATGAGTTTTTTTTTTTAAATTTCCTCTTCCCATACCGGGAAATGCCAGTATTGCCACTGCTATGCACAGCAACTTACTCTCCACCCTCAGCCCTGCAGTGCTGGCAAAGTTCCACCTGAGTCAAAAATTGAAAAGCTTTGCTGAATTCTCACACCCAACTGAAATTTCAGAAACAAATAAAATTCACAGCCACCTAAAGGCAGTGACAATACGATCTCATTCAGTTTTCACTATACTCCTTGGCTCCTCAGTTTATACCCATGCAATCCAACTGAAGACAATAGTACAAATTTGGCCTTAGCTATTTGCAGCCCTGCTTAAAGGCAATAATAGAGTTGATAGAGCTGATCCCAGGAATACATGCAAGTGCAGTTACGTGTTATCCATTACCCAAGATACCTCTTAGTTAGACTAACTGATGGGGTGCAGCAAGGTGGCTATAAAAATCCCTTAATTTAAATGGAAAACTAATATACAATGTGAGAACTATGGGAACTACATGAACAGGTTGGCTTTGATCAGTGGAGACACCCAGTAATGGGAAAGGATGATGGAAGAAGCTGGTATCCCAAAGGCAATTGCACATAATGTAAAAACAGAGTGGACCAAAAAAAATTAAAGTTTTTTTTTAAATTTAAATTGGATGGTTTTTATTTTGTCACTTAAATTATAAGAAGTTTTTCCTCTTTAAAAATAAATCTGTTTAAAACTGAGTCTGAATTTAATATAAAATATGTTAAGGCTTCTATTTATTATAATCTCTTAAAACATTTAAATAAAAAATAAATAAGCTGAAGCCATGAGCCTCTATCGAAAGCTTTTGAGTTAAAGGCTGCTTCTCTATATAAAGAAAGAAATAGAGGGAAAACAGTGAAGTTTTGAAGTCAAGCATAAACAATATGGCACAAAAGTCATATACATTGTTATGGGCTTGTTTTGTTTGATAAAAATAAAAGTTTGTATGCTGTTTATGTGTGTTTAATTAAATTCCAGTTACCACGCTAATGCAGCATGACACAAATCATAAGCAAAATATTAATTACCTAATAAATAAGCAATATATCATTCACTGTTTTTAACATGCTTAAAGATGTACAATGAATAAGCATCTGAAAATGTTAAGGTATATAATTGCTTGATTACATGTATATATTTATAGCATACTCTCCTAGGTAGCAAAAATCTGTACTAAATGTAGTATAAAGGCTCTATTTAGTTATAAATCAGTATGTTTTAATGATTATATCAATCAATTAAATCAAATGGACCATCACATGGCTATACTTTGGCAGGAAAAAGAGTGTGAGAAAGAAGTTTACATCTTGGCAAAGAAATAGCTGGAGAGCTGGAGGTTCCCAATCCCAAAAAACTTTCTGTTTCCTGAACCCCAACTGGAAATGGTTTTCAAAGAAAAGGAAAAACTCAAAATTGGGAAGAGTTACCCCAAGTTCTCTCTCCCTTCACCTCTTCTCACAACACTAGCTATACTAGAGGAACAAAGGGAACATCTTTGGATTAGGTGAGGGATCCTGACAAAAAGATTCAGCCCATAGGACTGCTAGAATATGTAATGAGAGAGACTTTTGCATTAAATTAACTTAGCTTGTTAAGTGAATGTTTTACTTTTTATTTACTTGCAACCGAGTTAAA